CCCAATTTTTAACCCAAGTAGCATCTGATAATAGGGTAACCCTTCCGTAAGACCAAATATTGCAACTGTCCTCGGTGTAATCTAAAATTGAGGATTTTTGCAAATGGAAGTCCTTTACAGGCTGTAAAGTGGGCCTGCTTAGAGAATAAGTCAATAACAGTCCAAATGATTGTATTCCCTCCACTCTGAGGTAATTCTACAATAAAGTCCATTGTGATTTCTTCCCACAGCTGTATTGGTTCAGCTACTTGGTGGAGGAGGCCAGGGGGTTTCCCAGTTCTGTGTTTCATCGTGGCACAAATTGAACAGCTTTTCACATACTCCTCGACGTCAGGTTTCATTTTTGGCCACCAGAACTGTCTTCTGACTAAATGTAGTTTTTTTAAGAACCCAAAGTGTCCCCCCAACCACGAGTCGTGGCTATGTTTTAGTACCATTAGTCTTAGATTTGCAGGTACATAAAGTTTAGTCCCTTTCCAAGCCAGTCCCTCATTCATTGTCAATTTGGTTTGATGCTCCAGAAACCAGGGATTGGTCAATAGGGCTGCTTTCAACTCAGTTGTCAGTTTGTCTTCCAGGCATCTGGGGTTGCAGTTGGCTTGGCCTCGAGTGGTTACTTGGCCTGCCGATTGAGCTTCTCATATCATAGTCTGCAATATTTCCTCTCGGCGACTGTCAAATTGGGGTTTCCTTGACAGGGCGTCCGCCAATATATTTTTCCCTCTGGGGATATATTTAATGTTGAAGTTGAACCACTTGAAATATTGAGCCCAGCTGTTTAGGTGATAGCTTCCGAGGTGTCTTAGAGCCTCGAGGTTCTTGTGATCAGTCCACTCCTCAAATGGCTCCTTCACCTCTTCTGGGAAATGCCTCCAAGTCAACAAAGCTTCTTTCTCCCAGAAAGAAGCAAATGCAAATGCTTCTTTCTCCCAGACTGCCCACCTTCGCTCTGTGTCATCTTTTTGGACACATAAACGCAAGTCATCAGTGGGTTCTGAGAGTCCTTTTGGAGAAGAATGGCCATGATCGCCACATCACTAGCATCAGCTTGGACTATAAAAGGTCTAGTCGAGTCTGGGTGCTGGAGAATGGGCTCAGCTGCAAAGAGGCGTTTTAAGGTTTCAAAAGCTTTCTGACAGTCTATTGTCCAAGCAAGGGGTTGACTGGGCTTCGGTTTGGTGGTTCAATGAAACCTCTGTCCAAATTGCTATTGATGTATTTCCTTAATTCAGTCATTTCAGCTGGTGTCATGAAATACATCTTTGGTTTTGGTAGTTTTGCCCCAGGTTCTAGCTCTATGGCACAATCAGTGGCTCGATGGGGAGGTAAAACATTACATTCCTCTTCACTGAATGCCTCAGCCAAGTCTCTGTATTGTTTGGGTATTTGGGGGGTACTGTTGTGGTTAGCCGGCAGCAGTGAGGAGGAGGTTCCCGAGGAGCCTGTGCGAAGTGCGAGTGCGCGCAGGATGATTCATAGAAGAGCAGCACAGGCGACTCAAGAGTAAGAATGCTAATTAATGTCCCCTCCCTCCAGGGAATATAAGCCTGGTTTCAAAGGGTTTTTGCTCCGTAGAAGGCAAAAACGTTCTAAGAAGCTCTAAGGACCTAGCATTGTGTGTAGAGATATTGGCTTATCTGAAGAATTCTGTCAAGGCTTTTCTGGTTGGACTAATTGGCTGCAAGCCATCTTTTATCTACAAAGAAGTTTATTTGTAGATTAAAGCTGTGAAGGTTTGAGTTACTGATTTTGTCTGTGTTTGCTCTCTGGGAACCTGGCTGGGTCAGAATAGGTACCTGGAAGAAGGTCTGAGATGGTGGCTGCTGCTTCAGTTTCTGGACCCATGTTGGGTGGTAGTTTCTTAGTGGGAGGAAGTGGGGCAGTGGGCCCACCCCAATTATGATTTTTCGGTATCCATCCTCCCACTTGATGGTAGGGGGGCATTTATCTAGCCAAGCAAGTCCCTATATGACAGATTCTGACATTCTTGGAACCACTATAAAACGTATGAGTTCGCAGTGAGCACCCATCTCCAGTTTGATTAACTCTGTCATTTGGGTGGCCGGGATCCCCCCAATTAATGTCCCATTCACTTGCTCAAATCTGATTGGGCGTTTTAGGGGGTTAGGTTTTATAACCAATTGTTCAACAATGGGGAGCCCAGTAAGGCATCTAGAGCATCCGGCATCTATGACAGCTTCTAATTCCCCTGCCTCCCCTGTGTCAGGCACCACTAACTTCACTTTGACAGTAAAAGGTGTGATGGGTGTACTCACCATAGGGTCATCTTTGTCAGCAGCTTCTCTGGGGAAGGTGTGTTGGGTTGGAAGTTCGTTGCTCCCTTCTGCGTGGAGAGGACCTTCTACGGCTAGTGTCGGGAGGCTTTTCTTGAATTTTTCAACCGCTGCCAGCTGTATTAGACCTTGGTTGTGGAGCTTGTGGAACAGGTGCACGGGCCAGACAGTTGGCTGCTTTATGGCCATCCTGGCCACAATGATAACACTTTATCATTCTGGTGGGTCGGGTGGGAGCAGCTTCAGCAGGTCTGGTCAGTGGTTGTCTGGCCACAGCTCTCCTAGGACGGGCCTTCAGGTAGGGGTCTTTTTTGTTGATTGATGTCGTCTAATTTGAGGGCGGTTGTATACCATGCTTGTAGAGTCTCGGGTATCCCTCTAATGTTGCAGGCCTTTTTTACTTCTGTGTCAATGGCGTTTTTAAAATAGTGCAAGATTATTCTTTCATTTCCTAACAGTATAGGCAGTTAAAGATAAATCCTCTTCTTGTGGTTGCTCCTTCCTCAGTTCCAGTCATCTTCTTGCCTCTTCTAACAACCTTCCGGTTATGTCAGTCAATGTCAGTTTATCTCTGGGTGGGACTTCTAGTGAAGATACGTAGTCATCATAACTTTCATCCAATGAGGAAAGAATGATGTAAACTTGATGCAGCTCTGAAAATATCAGGTCCTTTTCATGTAGCTCTTGAAAAGTTCTTTTCATGAAGTTTAAATGAGCTAACATATCTCCACCTTTCAGAAGACATGCTCTAAACAGTTTACATGTAAGATATATGTGTGCACCCACACTGTCACGAACATAAATCCTCTTCAAATTCTCCCAACACCTACCAGCAGACTCTTCTCCATAAATATAGACTAGCTGTTGGTCACTCAGTGTTAGTCCAATTATACAAAGAGCTCATTCGTTGTTCTGTTTAAAGTCAGCAAGCTTCTTGGCATCATCCTCATTATTTGTATCCCAAGCATTTACATCTGGTGGATCTTGAACTACATTCCATAAAACTTCTCTACGCAGAAGTAGACTTCGTAGATTTCTCTGCGGCCCACCAAAATTTTCTCACGGCCCACCAGTGGGCCATGGCCCACCAGTTGGTGACCGCTGATCCAGGTCATGGTTGTCCCAAAGGTGCTTTTTCAAGAAGCAACTGGACTTTCTGGTTTTTCTTTCGAAGACGTTTCACTTCTCATCCCAGAAGCTTCTTTGGCTCTAACCAGATGGTAAGGAATGGAAGGATTTATCCTCCTTGCAGACAACTGGTCATTTGCATCCTTTTAGAGAGTAATTGAAACCACTTGGAGGTTTTGTCCGTGTCCTCAGGGTCATCTGTGATGACCCGGGGTGTGGCACAAAGGCAACGCAGCCAGATAGTAAGTAGGAATCACTTTATTAGCTCCAAACTTTGCCCCCAAGGTCCTGGTTACCTTCCAGTCTGGAGAAAAACTCTCCCAGGTAAACAGCCTTTGGCTGCAGAGAAACTAGTCCAAAATGTGGTCAACAGAAAACTGTAACTATCAGTCCAATCAAGGCAAGATGAGGTCATTAGTCCGGCAGGGCAAGAGAAGAAGTTCCAGATATGAAGGAACAGCAGTAACTCAACATGGTTGGGAGGATGCCAGGAACGCAGATAATCACAGTCAACACAGGATAAAGTCACGTTTGCTCCCAGAAGACGCCACATTCAGCATGCATCTCTTTTAAACTCCCTTCCCAGCTGCGGCCAATGAAGAGAATCAGGGCCCTTTCCTCCCCCGTAAGCCCCGCAACCCACGTTGCTTTGTTCTCTGTTCCTCCCTGCGTGCCCTAGGATGAAGAGGGGTGGGCCTGGGTCTTCCTCTGAACTCCCTCTCCCTTGTTCTCCCTCTCTCCTTCTCTGCCCAGCTGGACTGTGCCCTTCCCCAGTTTCCTTCACAGCCAACAGAGCCACACTCCCACTCCCTGTCAGCTGTTTGTCTTCCTCCTTGGATTCAGACTCTGACAGGGGCATGACAGTCACCTCAGTGGTGCAAATGGGTGTGAAGCCTTCTTGGAAATGCTGAAAGGACCTGTTGTAGACTGGAGATAGATAATGGGGAAACAAAACAGCCACTTCACAAATGCATGGCACAACGTAGGAGAACAAACCCATCAGGGCTAGATTCAGCAGTCCGCCTGCATTGAAAAGACAAGGGCTGCTCTTTTGAAGACAGCAAAGTCCACATTTTGCACAGAGGAACCTCTCTGGTTTGAAAGAGGGGTCAATGAGGCCATCTATATGTCCAAATTGAACAGCCCTCTCTCAACAGAAGGTGAGGGATACAATATTGTCTGTCTCCAGTTCACAATCCACCTCCTTTCAGCAATTCCAAGAATGTTCCACACCCATTTGCACCTCTCAGTTGACCCTGAGGATTCAGACAGAACGTCCCAAGTGGCCTCAACGGCTCACTAAAAGGATGCAAATGACCAGCTGCCTGCAAGGAGGATAAATCCTTCCCTTCCCCACCCTCCAGTCAGAGCTGAAGAAGCTTCTCGGAGGAGAAGTGAAACGTATTCGAAAGAAAAACCAGAAAGTCCAGTTGCCTCTTGGGAAAAAAAATGACCTTTGGAACTACCTATAGTTGCCGTAGTGTTAGCGTTGAAGACAGGAGTATATGGATTATTACCTCTGTCTTCCTTCCTCCCTCCCTTCCTCCCTCCCTCCTTCCTTAATCCTTCTTCCTTCCTCTGACATGCCCCTCCCCCCCAGGGGGAAGTGATGAACCTGCTGATGTTCCTCTCCACCTGGGATGGCAAAGTGCCCCAGCCAGCCATCCTGAAGCCTCACCCACTCTGGACCGGGAAGCAGATCTTCTCCGTCATCATCCCGGGACACATCAACTGTGTTCGGACACACAGCACCCATCCGAACGAAGGAGACAGCGGCCCGTACAAGCACATCTCACCGGGAGACACCAAGGTACCTATGGTTGCTTCCTGCCTGGGAAGTTAGCGGGGCGGGGGGTGCACGTCTCTCCGGAGATTTGCTTCCCCCGGGTTGAAACAAATGTTGAAAAAGACTCGAAGCCTGGGCCCTATCAAACAAAATCAAATTCATTGTGGAGAAAAGTAAAGTTTTACAACCCAAAAATACACATATAGACTGGGTGAAACCAGGCTCAATAGCAGTCACTGTGAGAGGGATCTTGGAGTCTTAGTGGACAACCAGCTAAATATGAGCCAGCAGTTTGCATCAGCAGCCAAAAAAGCCAATGCAACCCCAAGTTTCAATAACAGAGGGATACAATCCAGATCAAGGAAGGGACTCATACCACTCTATAAAGTCTTAGTAAGGCCACCCCTAGAGTACTGCATCCAGTTTTGGTCACCAGCATATAAAAATGATGTTGAGACTCCAGAAAGAGTGCAGAGAAGAGCAACCAGGACGATGAGGGGACTTGGAGGCTAAAACATTATGATTACAGGAACTGGGCCTGTCTAGTCTAGTGAAGAGAAGAATCAGGGGAGACAGGATAGCTGTCTTCCAATATTTGAGGGGCTGCCCCAGAGAGGAGGGTGGTCAAGCTATTTTCCAAGACACCTGAAGGCCAGACAAGGAATAATGGATGGAAACTGAAGAAGGAGAGATTGAACCTGGAAATAAGGAGAAATTTCCTGACAGAACCATCAACCCATGGAACAGAAGTTGCCTTTGGAAGTTGTGTGAGCTTCATCACTGGAGGCTTTCAAGAAGAGAGTGGACTGCTTGAAAGAGTGGAGCTGACGTCATGACGATACAGCATGCAATCTCGCAGGTCTGAGACTGCAGCCGATATCTTTGCCCCTGGTCCGTCCAAATGGACCTAAACCGTCCCGTAGAGACGGTGATAGTGAAGGGTGCATCCTGTGGATCCCAGGGATATCGCAAAGTCCCTAGTTGATCCAGGAGAAGCCCTTCTTGCCAGCAGCAGAGAGGCAGCCATTAAAGCTGCTGAAGTTGGGACAGCTCCGGAACAGAAGAGACTGGAAGAGAAAGTGTGTTGGTTTGGTGAGGATTTGTTTTTTATCATTATTTTAAGACTTAAAAGGACACCCTAAGGAAAAGAAAAAATCTGTAAAAGTTTTGACAGAACTGAATAAGCGGCAGTTTTTAAACGGAAACGTCAAAGTGAGGCTTGGCTTTTTACTTCTTTTTTTTTTATTACTGGACTTCTATTGCGATTTAGCATTTGTTAACTGGACTGGCTTTTTTCTTATACATATATCTATTTTTTCTTCTCTTTTTTGATTTTGCAACTTTTTAGATTAGAGGCTCCCTTTAGTTACTTTCCTTTTTTCTTTATATACATATACTTTCTTTTCTTTTTTTAACTTCTATTACATTTTGTCTGGGAAAGGAGGGGGAAAGTGAGAGCAAAGAAACTTTGTAACACTGCCAACTAGAGGCTTGAAAATATCTTAGCTGAAGCTGAGAAAGCTCTGAAAGACTCCCTTTCAAGGACATTGCAACCTGATAAGATAGAGGGAAGAGCACGGGAGAGTGTTATTGCAGGTGTTCTTCTGGATTTCTATCAATAATTGAAGCTTGGCTTTGAAGTTTGTGGAGAAGAGAGTTATAATAAGAGCCTTGGATAATTAAATAAAGAGCAGTGTGTTCTTTTTTTTTTTAAGTTGTGCTATCCCTCCTTACCAGCTCTACTGTACTCTTTTCTTTAAAAAAAAACTTTTATTTTTGTAATATTTCCACTCTTGCTTTTTATTTTAAAGGGAAAGCCTCAAAATTTTTCCTTTTCTTTTTCTTTCTTCGTTGGGATTTTTGCTTTTTCCATCCATACTTTTGGTTCATTTTTATGTTTTTTTATTTTTATTTTTGAGACCTCTTAATTGGATTAAGGTGTGAAGAACCTGAATAAATTTTTCTCTCATTTTCTTTTTATTATTATTGGGCTTTTTTCCTTTTATTATTTTTATCTTTTATCTTGGATTACAATTGACTACTTCATATTGGATTAAGGTTCAGAAGAACCTGAAGAAACTTTTCCTCCTTTTCTATTTATTATTATTGGGCTTTTTTCTCTCTACCATTTTTACTTTCCATCTTGGATTATAATTGGCTACTCCATAATTGGATTAAGGTTCAGAAGAACCTGAAGATTTTGAATTATTTAAAATGAGCAGGAAATTGATAGCTTCTGGCCCTTCAACTTCTATCCTCCCCACCATCTGGAGGACAACGTTCAATCCAGACAATGTTAAAGCAAGACAAAGAACAAGAAAAAGTGACCTTACAGATGATTATGCAAGGAATTCAAAATATTCAAGTAAGATCAGAGAATATTGAAAAGAGAATAGAGAACATTGAACAAAGAACAGAGAACATTGAACAAAGAACAGAGAACATTGAACAAAGAACAGGGAAAACTGATGAAAAAGTGGAGAACATCCAACAAATGATGCTGAAGTATGACGAGAGATTCCGAAAAATTGAAGAAGAAGATAAACAAAGAGACAAGAAGATTGGAGATATTGATAATAGATTAACAGTGGTTGAACAAGATAAAAGTGGGATGCTGAGATGGGAGATGGATAGATCAGAATTTTATCTCAGATTTCAAAACATAGAGGAAGAAAAAGGACAAAATCTAGCTGAGATAATGATAAAAATTCTAGCTGAAGCTTTGGAAATAACAGAAGAGAAGATGATGGATGGAGTAGATGAAGTATATCGAGTTTTTACAAGATATGCGATGAAAAATAACCTACCAAGAGAGGTTCATATTAGATTTACAAAAAAACCCATTAAAACACAAATATTGCAAGTGGTAAGAGAGAAAATGCTGAAATACAAGGGCAAGGAGATTGTGGTTTTAAAACAAATACCTAGAAAAGTAAGAGAGTTAAGAAGAGAATACCAATTTTTAACTAAAACGTTACTGAAAAAAGAGGTGAACTATAGATGGCTAATTCCAGAAGGATTAATGTTTACATGGCAAGAACAGAGACATAGAATTGACTCAATTGAGAAAGCAGAATTATTTTATGCAGAATTCTTTGGAAAGAGAGAGGAAGAGGCAGAAAAAGAGGTTTCATTAATTGAATTTCAAGAGGACCAAATGGAGACTGAAAAAGAAGAAGGCGCAGTAGGTGGACAGGGGGAAACTAAAGAACAATGTGAACCAAGATCCATGAGAGCTACTAAACCTAACTACAAAGTATAATTATGGAAGAGAAAAAACTGATTACAATGAATATAAATGGACTTAATTCGGCTGTTAAAAGAAGGAAAATTTTTCATAAATTAGAGAAATTAAAATTTGATATAATTTGTCTACAAGAAGTACATATTAAAAAACAATATGAACAATTGTTGGTACAGCCAAAATTAGGGAAAATATTTACTTCTTTGACTCAATGTAAGAAGAGAGGAGTGGTTTTATATATTAAGGAGACCATCCGAGCAAAATTGATTCATACTGATGATGATGGAAGAGTATTAATGGTGGAAATAATGGACAATAATATGAAAACACTCCTGATTGCAATTTATGCTCCAAATGATAAACAAGAAGAATTCTATAAAAAAATTACATATGAAAATAATTGAACTGGACTATGTTAATATAGTTATGATGGGAGACTTCAACGGAATTGTAGACAATAAATTGGATTATACAGCAACAACAATAAAACAAAATAGAAAGACTCTTCCTAAATCCTTTTTTAAAATGAAAGATGAAATAAACTTAAAAGATATATGGAGAGAAAGAAATGCTAAAACCAAACAATATACTTTTTACTCAAATAGACATTTATCATGGTCCATAATAGATATGATTTGGATTTCAACAGAACTAATATCTAATATTCAAGAAACAAATATTGAAACAAGTACTTGGGCAGACCACAGTCCAGTGACAATTAAATGGAAAGGACAAAAAAAAAGATCGAAATGGATGTTAAATAATACTATTTTAAAGGAAAAAGACTTCACACAACGGATGGAGAAAGAATTGGCCTTTTTCTTTAGAGAAAACAAAAAAGAAGATACTTCAATTCAGAATGTTTGGGACACAATGAAGGCATATGTCAGAGGCTTGATAACAGACTATATAAAGAAAAGGAACATCAGGAAAAGGCAAGCCACTAAAGTTTTAGAAGACGAGCATAAAAGACTTGAAAAAGAACTACAGAAAACGCCACAGAAAAAAGACATTAAACTAAAATTGGACATAATTAAACACAAAATGGGTCAAATAGAGAAAGAAGAATTAGCACAGAAAATCAGAAGTGCTAAACAGAACTATTTTGAAGATGCAAACAAACCAGGTAGATGGTTAGCATACAAATTGAAAAAGGAGAAGGAATCAAGGAAAATATTGCAGTTAATAGATGATCAAGGTCAAGTTTGCTACGGCAATAAAGAGAAAAAGGAAATTATTCAAGACTTCTATGGGCAACTATATAAGCAAGAGAATATTGATGAGAAAAGTGTCAAACAGTATTTACAGAATGCTAATCTACCTAAGATACCTAAAGAGACTGAAAAAATGTTAGAAAGCAATCTAACAATGATGGAATTAACTGAAGCACTGAAGAAGCAAAATAATGGAAAGGCACCAGGCCCAGATGGACTTCCGGCAGAATTTTATAGAACATTACAAGAATCGCTGAGCCTTCCATTGCTAGAAGTCATGAATGAAGTTATGTCAAAGAAGATGATACCTAAAACATGGTCAGAAGCCTATATTACACTTATTCGAAAAGAAGAGGCTGATCCATTGCAAATTAAGAATTATAGACCTATTTCTTTACTAAATGCAGATTATAAAATTTTCGCTTCAATTTTGGCAGAAAGACTTAAAAATACTTAAATAACTTTATTCATCCTGATCAAAATGGATTTCTGCCAAAGAGACAAATCAAAGATAATATGAGAGTAATTTTGGATACTTTGGAATATTATGAGGCACACCCCAAAAGCAAATGGCTTTGATATTTTTAGATGCACAAAAGGCATTTGATAATGTGAATTGGAGATTCATGCTATTATTATTGGAACAGATGGGTTTTGCCAGAAAATTCATTCAAGCAATAGAAGCCATATACCATAAGCAAATGGCAAAGGTAAGAGGGAGAATTGACAGATTCCATCAATATAAGAAAAGGTACAAGACAAGGATGCCCACTATCACCTTTGCTATTTGTATTAACTTTGGAAGTGTTGAATAGAAATATTAGAGATGATAAAAGTATAAAAGGAATGAAAATTAAAAAGGAAGATTTCAAATTGCAAGCTTTTGTGGACGATTTGGCTTTTATTTTGGAAGACCCTTTAGAAACAGCACCAAAATTATTGGAAAAGATAGAGACATATGGTAAGGTGGCTGGTTTGAAAATAAATAAAGATAAAACAAAGATCTTGACAAAGAATATGCTACTAAGACAAAAAGAAGAACTGGCAGACCTATTGAAAATTCAAGTCACGAACAAGATTAAGTATTTGGGGATACATTTGACAGCAAGATGTAGTACATTAAAAGAGAACAATTACATTAAACTTAAACAACAGATAGCGTTAGACTTGATGAAATGGGAAAATCTACAATTGTCATTAATAGGGAGAATCTCAACAATCAAGATGAATATCTTACCCAGAATTTTATACCTGTTTCAAACCATACCAATTAGGCTTGGAAAAGACTATTTTGAAGATTTAAATAAAATTGTGCTGAAATATATATGGCAAGGCAAGAAAGCGAGAATAAAGTTAAAACTCTTGCAAGACACTTAGAACTAGAGGAGGATTTGGTTTGCCTAATTGGGAGTTGTACTACCAAGCTACAAACTTGATGTGGGCTAAGGAATGGATAACATTAAGAAATACTAGATTGTTGACATTAGAAGGACATGATTTGTTGTTGGGGTGGCATGCTTTTTTATGGTATAAGGGAACTAAAACACAGGGCTATTTTAGAAGACATCATATACGGGAGTCTCTGTGGTTAAATTGGGAGAAGATTAAAAGACAATGTTATTTGAAAATTCCAGTCTGGTCATCGACTATTGAAACATTTTCCTATCCTATAATATACAAAAAGGAACAAACAGTTAGATATGGGGAAATATTGGATGAAAAGGGTGAACTTAAATCGATGCAAAATCTAGAGGAACAAGGTATAAAGATGAATTGGTTTTCATATGCGCAAATACATTCAAGGTATGATGATGATCTCAAAACAGAAGGATTTTATGACAAATTGACTGACTTAGATAAGATTTTGACAGGTACTGATGAAAAGGTGATTAAAAAATTGTATGGTTATTTATTGGAAATTAAATTAGAGGAAGAACAAGTTAAAGAAACTATGATTGCTTGGGGGAAGAATTTTGGATATGGGATTGATTTAGAGAAATGGCAAAAATTGTGGTCTCAAAATTATAAAATGACAGTGTCAACAGCATATAAAGAAAATTTGTATAAGACGTTTTACAGGTGGCATTTTCCCCCGACAAGAATAGCAAGAATGTTCAAGAATAAATCCGAAAAATGTTGGAAATGTCATCAGATACCTGGCTCATATTACCATATGTGGTGGACTTGTGCAAATGCCAAAAAATACTGGACTAAAATCCACATGTGGCTGGAAAAAATGATAAAGAAACATATAGACTTGAAACCAGAGATTTTTTTATTGGGAATCTTACCTGATACATACAGTAAAGATTTAAAATATTTGATTGTAAATGTATTAACAGCGGCTAGGATTGTATTTGCTAAAAATTGGAAAAATGAGAAAATACCATTACAGGAGGAAATTATTAAGAAAATATTGGAATGTGCTGAAATGAGTAGATTGACATTTGAAACTAGAGAACAAGAGTGTGGTGGTCTGGCACTTGAAATGAGACACAGGGAAACTGTCTGAGC